GTCCAGGGTCACTACTAATGGGGGTTTTCTTCTCTTCCCTCCTCCTCCTCCAACAACACCGCCACCGCCGCTTCCTCCTTGCTCGGCCTCCTCCTCGTCCTCATCATCCTCCCCGGCCTCAGTGTCCTGGCTGGCTGAATCCGTGCAGGTGGAGGACAGGGACGAAAGCTTGTGTCGGAGCTCGGCCTGTGTGGGGACCTGGAGGCTGATCTCGGTTGTAAAGGACTCAATGTCTGGACCTTTTAGATAGCAGAAGGACTTAATTAGGTCAATGAACAGAGAATGCTGTAGGAGTGACGGTGTCTTTTAGACTCTTGTGTTTATTTGGCAGTAATCGTGTCTCTCTAGATAATTCAGACATTTGAAATTTTTGCCATCTGTTGGGTAAATTGTATTATTATCAACTATTTGTTATATCTTTATTATGTCCTTAGTTTATGTAGCCTTACTTATTTAGTTTAGTCATATGTTTTAAGAAATGTTTTTATATTGTTAATCACTCTGCTTTCCTTTCTTAGAGGGCCTCTCTGAAGAAGAGCAGTGACAGCAGCTCTTCACAGAACGCCCTGCTTTGACCTCTTAGATAGCTATAAAACCATCGCCGTGAAGATTCACAACTTGTCCTGTTTGATCCTGGGTCAGGAACTGGATAAGCTAGTGTTAGATAGATTGTGTTGTTAGTTAGTGATAATCTTGGCGCTGTGACTGTGTGATGAAGTGTTTTTTCCCCTCCCCTTAGAGTTACAGCGCTCTCTGTGATTAGGGATCCTAAAGACAATAAAAAGAGGGGCAGGCAAATGTGCTTCAGAGCAGCAGGAGATTTGTAACTGAAAGCACATCTCTGTCTGTTCTCCTCGCGAGTATTAAGAATCTAACTTTCTCTTGTCTTTCCTGTGTTATTTGCTGTGTTTAATAGGTGTCAACTCTGACACCATCCAACGATGAGCTACAAATAAAAGTTGTTAAAGTTTTTTGAAGTTTACATGCAGCTGTGAATTTATGAAATTCTCGCCAAAGGAACTAGAGATTGGACATTTACCTGCATCCCGTTTAAAAAATATAGCTCTTAACAGGATGTATACTAGACGAGTATTCATACTACCTAATTTTTTTTCACATTTTGTCAAGTTAAAGCCACAATTTTCACTGCCGTTTTTTTATGATTGTTGTTGTTGATGATTTTATGTGACAAAGAAAAAAAAATGTTGAAAAATGTGGAGTGCATTTGAATTCTACCCGGTTTTGCCATAAAATCCAGTGCAACCAGCAGCCTCCCCAAGTTATTTAACTTGTTAAAAACAGGGACGCACAGCATTATGTCCAAATGACGTGACCTAGAGCTCACTGACAGGTTGCGGTGTGATTTTCTGCACATTTACCTGTGACCGGTGAGGCAGCGCTGTTGTCCTCTCCCCCAGAGTGCAGGAAGACATCCAGAGCCTCGTGGTCGGACATGTCCATCAGGTCCATCTGCTCCAGCATGTCCACGTTCACCTCCATGGACGACATGCTTCCTATTGGCTCTGGACACGACAAATCGCAGTCAGGTATCGGGGAATACCAAAAGGCGTGGGAAAGGCAGCAGCAAGGAGCTGAGTCCAGGAAGGAAGGCGCTTTGCTCTAAGTCGCAATCATTACTCACCGATACAGATGCATAAGCAAATGACCACAAACAAGCCGGATGGAGTTTGAAATGTGAAAGCAGGTATGATTAAAAAATAAAAATAAATGAATAAAGTGCAAAAACTATGTAGCTTTAACATGACAGGAAATAAACTTACACACTATTTATTTTATTTATTTATTTTTTTATTATTTAACCAGACCTGAAAAATTACTTAAATTCAAGATTTTCTAGACTGCTTAGTTGAGTTGCTCCTCAGTGTGAACGACTACAGCAAATATCTAATGCGAAAGCGACTGAAGGGTAAAAGTGTTAAAATCCGCATTTGTAGCAACCAGTCTGAACTTAATGTGATGTGAACTGAGCCAAGTTTTACAGAAAAAAAAAAACGTTTTGATCTCAGCCTTGAACCAATTCCACCTTTTTATTGAGCATGAGTTCAATTCGAAGTCCTAAACTGAGAACATTTTTGAGAACTTTCCACCACAAATGAACTCCTGCACCTCACAGCAATCGGTGTTTCAGTCAAACGTAACGAGTACAAAAAAAAACAAAAAACGACTGTATATCTGCTACAGTATTTAGAGCGAAACCTCTTGACTTATACACGAAGGAGACGTTGTGTATAGATTGTGTTCATGTGAGAAAAAAAAACGTTTTTCTTGGAGTTATTACTGTAACACGACATCAACAGTTTTAGCATTTGCACTGCAGCTTACTCAGCTATTCTTGGGAATCACTTAGAAAATGGCAGTGGGAGACACATTATGACAAAGAACTGAATCATTATCAGCTGTGACGTTAACAGATTAGAGGAGTCATTAATTTTATGTATGAACTGCCTACACGACGGGTACGTGACGAAAGTCTCCAACGAAAACGAGCCAACGTATTTCCAATTTTAGATGAAATCTTTCTTGTGAGCCAACACACTCCTGGATTCACCACCTTGAGGGGGGGGGGGTTGCAGAGCCCCACGGTTTGCCATAATGATTTTGCTGCATGCATCACAGACAGCCAGTCCTGGCACTGACAGGGGGGAGGGTGGAGAGGAGGGGGTTAGCGGGGGGGGGCAGGGAGGCGTGGGGGCAGCAGAGTTGTAAGCACATGAGGGAGAAGCCGACGTGATTAGTTGTTGGAGCAGGAGTTGCTAGAAGATGCGTTTGCTACCGTACCTCAAGGAAAATGAGGAGGAGTAGAAGAGGGCGGCACAGGGAAGGAGAGCAGAATGAAGAGTCAAAGAAAGAGAAGAGGAAGAAAGAAAGAAAGGAAGAAAGAAAGAAAGAGGGGGGATGTTATTTCCAAATAGAGGCTGCCTTAAAGTCCCCCTGCCCTTTAAGCTGCAACACAAACACATACAGATTATACACAACAGAATGTCACACCGGGATTAATTCAGACCGTTCTTGCATGCATTTCTCACCATTAGGCTGTTTTCTTATCTGACATTTTTTTAAAGGAAACAGATCTAATTTGTGCTAATGGACGCTCAGTATGCAGACTCCTTCCAGTGCGCATCCATACGGCCCTTCTCGTCAAAGCCGTGCGAAACATGGGATGGATGACAGATTGCGCCCTGGAGCGGTGTCTCCAGCACAGGAACATGAATAAAACAGTGATGCTTGGTAATGTTGAAAAGGTTTTTTGGTCCTCTCGACTGAAAACATCTTTTCCCCATCAGACAGCCTCTGACATGCTCCTCTGTTTGTTTTGGTGTGACCTTGCCTGAAAGGGTACCCCTGCTGGGAGGGCTCTTATTGCCTGCAGGGAAATTACACAGAGTAAATGCCTGCATATGTGTGTGTGTGTGAGTGAGAGAGAGAGAGTCTGTGTATGTGCAAGAAACTAAAAGTAAAGTCTAAGACCTTGAGACCAGTTTGTGATTATTACTGGGGTTGTGGCGTTCACTTTGTGTTTTCTGTACGGGATTCCGTTCATGACAAATTTCCAGACTCTTCTCCAGAGTTCTGACTCGAGTCCAAACAGCGTAGTGCTGTGAACACCGTGCATCACAGTGCGTTTTAGGGTCACGTCCGGTCTCAGGTTTGTAACACCCACAGATGTTTACACTCGAGCCAAAGGTTCCGTTCTGGTCCTAACGGTCCGAAGCACGTTCTTCCACACGTTCGTGGCAAACAGGACTTCTCCTGACTGTCTTTCATCAGTTGTGATTTATGAAGTTGTCCAGTCAACAGATTCTCTCCCAGAGTCACTATGGGCTTCTTGACTGCTTCTCATATTAATCCACCTATCTCTCTCTCAGGAGGTTCTCTCTTGTGCCAGACTCCATTTTCAGACCATTTTCAGATGATGTATTGAACATCATTGGCAAGATGTGGGATTGTGGGATTGATTTATAACCTCCAGAAAATCTTGCCTAAACTGTCATCTTTGTTCTTTGTGTGGTTTTTGTTCTGCGTTTTGTCAACTAAACCTCTAGGATAATCTTTCATTAGATATCTTTGTCAGAAAGCCCACCACGATTGAACAGTTTGCTTCACTTCACTGTTTTGTTTTTAGATTTTACTTTGAACAAAAAACAAAATAACCCCTTCATTAACCACAAGCAGTTTTGACTGACGATAGAAACACAAACCCCACACATTTTCTCCATTCTTCATCCTTAAATCTCTTCCCTCTAGCTCCATCTCTCTCTCTTTCCCCATTGCTTCACAATCTTCTTTCATAAACCGGTTCCAGGGGATTAATGGAGGAGGATGGATGAATAATAGAGAGAGAGAGAGGGAAGAAAAAAAAAATCACATCACAAACCCCAACAGAGTCTGCAACATCTTTTAACGCTGAGTCTTTGCAACTCCACATTTCAGTCCATCCTTTTGGGAATTTGAGCTGACTGTTGGAGGCAAAACTGGGTGTAAACCACAGCAGGATGCTATTGCAGTCGCATTGCAAGACTATATCTATATGGTCTGATGTCATTCTTCAAAGCAAAGGCTTGAAGGATAGACCCTTGTTACAGAGCAACAGCGGCTCAGTGTTGTCATATGCAACTAAAGTGGATAAGGTCTCTGCTGGGAGCAACGGGACTCAAACATTAAGCTCAATAACATGTGGCTCTGTATTCTTTCAAGAATAAGATCGACGGAGATAAACTCATGAGCTCACACTTCCCGGATCATCAAACGAGACATTTCCATCTCCTTACCTCTCCTCTCGGTGATCTGAAGGTATCCGGTGGACAGGTACTGCTCCATGTCTTGTTGAAAAGCCTCCTCGAAGAACTTCTGCCTCTCTTTCAGCTTCACCTGGGGCGCTGGGACCCCCGCTTGCTCGGCTCCAGGGACTTTCTGCGAGTGCTCCGCATCGAGCTCCACTGGAAGCGCAAGAGAAGTGAATGCAAGTTAACTTTTTTTTTAAAAATTATTATTATATCTAACAAGCAACGGCCGTGCGCTACAAAAAAAAAAAAAACATAAAATAAAATAATGATGAAGTGGTGCAGCTCACTGAAACGGGGAGCAAAAGAAGTAAGGCTTATTTCATCCGTCAAATTTCTGTCTTTTCCAGGAGGAAGATTCGGGAGGCCGGACTCAACCCTGACAGGTCGAGGTCAACGGTTACCGAAGCAGAACGACGTGGAGCTCTTGCTTTTTGAGGCGTTCAGATATTCTCTGATTCTCCCCGGCGTTTGTAACTCAATACTCCGTCCGTCTGCTGCGGGCTGCACAGGGGAGACCACACTGACTAACGTCTCGAGTGAGTAATCCCCACTGCTGCAAACACATCAGTAAACCAAGAACCAACCTCCTGCTGTGTGTGTGTGTGTGTGTGTGTGTGTGTGTGTGTGTGTGTGTGTGTGTGTGTGTCCTCCCAGGCTCTGAAGCTTAAAAGACGAGGTTCAGGAGAGAGATACATTTGTATCGTTGAGCAGCACAGAACTTTGCTGTGATGGTTTACACTTCAGATTCGAAGTGTCTGCAGTACTAAACCCTGCATTTAGGTCTGGACTTTGACTGGGACATTCTGACACGTGAACATGCTTGGACTTAAATTGTAAATCTGGCCGGTTTAGGGTTGTTGTCCTACCCAGAGATGAATCTTCACCACAGTCTCAACTATCTACAGCTTCTTCCAGGATTTCACGTTGCATGTTGCTTCATTTATCCCACCGTTAACTTTGACTAGCTTTCCCATCTCTGTGGGGGGGAAAAAAAAGGTCCCAATCCCCACAGCATGATGATGTCACCGCCATGTTTCTCCGTGTGGATGGTGTGTTCAAGGTATTGTGCAGCGTTTGTATTGTGCCACATGTACATCATTTGAACCAGGTGACATGTATATGCATATAGACTTTTTTTTGGGTCTGAAATGCAATATGTATATATTTTTGTACAGTTTTGGCTTATTCAGTGCCTTTTCTGAGTCTGTATAGTCCAGTTAAAGATTAATCGATTACTTAATTAGTTGACAATTATTTCAATAATGGATTCTTTGTGACTAATCATTTCAGCCCTACATATTCGACCTGAATCTTTGAGATATTTCAGCGTAAGGCACAGTTCCTGATTAGTAGGGAACGGGGGATGGAGTGTATGTTTGTCTGGAGGGGATAAATTAACTTTGCGTAACGCTTTCTGACATGATGGAAGCATGACTGTGCTGTTCGCGAGTGTAGGCACCGATGCAGCCTGGAACCTTGGTGGGGGATGTCTCTTTATTTTTTCCTCAATTTTTCTCCGACAGACAAAGGGTTACATAAGTCCACCCACCGACTACAGCACGAGAGTCCGTTTAATATGTCACACCAGAACATATTAAACTGATCCACACATTAGCTGTGATTTAAATTGAGCTTGGACCAAAAGGTTTGGGCAGCTCCTGGACGTTCCTCCTGTGAATTCACATCTTACAGCCTCCCCTCCTCTCCAACTGCGGCGTCAGGGACTCAACACCCTGACATAGGAGATAAGAGTCCTGATAAACTCTGGGATGTGGCAACAGATGGACACACACAAAACCAAAGAATAATGAGCTCCCATAAGAGCTCCCACTAACGCTCCTCGGAGACGCAGCGGAAAAGAATAGCACTCTTCTTTCTCTCTGTCATTTCTTACCCAGCGTCCAATTTATCTCATTCATCTGATGTTTCATGTTTGTCCCTCGTCTTTCCCCCATGACTCTGTCCTGCTTGGCTGGTGTGTTGGCGTGTGTGTGTGTGTGTGTGTGTGGCTCACAGAGACCGCTCTATTAGATTAAGGGCCTCAGGGAAGCTTTGTTAAGACTGTCAAGCATTGTGCGGGGTAGTAGCTGCGGAAAGAGAAGGCATAATGGAAAAAAGAGGCCAGTGTGGTTAGTTATAATTAGGGCTTGTAGACAGACAGTAATAACAGTACTGTTGGATTCTGGGTTTTATTTTATTTGCCTCTAATCTAATTCTCAAGCCATTACTTTCCTGTACTGACTATTTGTTCACGTCTTTGTTCATGCTGACTGGACTCAGTCAACTATTTATTTGTCTGCCAGTCTGCTCCGCATCTTCTGTTGTATATACTATATTTCCAAGCACATGTAGTTCTTGTTAATTTGTTCATTCAGTGTCAAAATTGTGATCCAGAAGAATACATTTCAGGTTTCAGGAACAACAAAAAGGCTCGTGTGGCATGCAGGTGTGAGCAGTCTCAGTTCTTTTAACATTTGGAATCTGATATGTAGAAATGACTCCCGACTCCGTGAAAGAGAGTGAAACACATATTTTAAAGCCAAACTTTAAACTATGTAAACCCTCAATCAGCCTTAATGCATGTAGACATATCCTTAGAGTGCTCACACTGAGTCAAACAATCTTTATCCGCTGGATAGGTAATGGAAACTATTGTTTTGGCCACAACTAAAAGAACATTTTCTCTATTTTCATTTCAGCTTGTACCCTCACCTCAGACAGCAGCTGGGATTCATTTGCATAGTCTGTGGCTAAAAATATCAGCCTGTTTTTGTCTGTGAGGCCAGCAAGGCTGGACTGCATTTTGTTGGAAACAAAACAATTGTTATTTTATTGACAAGTTAAATGTTTATCACTGTTTATAGTAATATGCATAGAGAAAGTGCTGGCTGCTGCAGCCTACTGTTTATCGGTGTCATGTGGCCTGACTTGTAGAGGGCAGGGATGTCCAAATTGTGGCACAAGAGCCATCTGTGGTCCCTGGACTGCTTTTGCGTAACTTTTGGTACAACTTTAGCACAGACACTTGATGCAGACAAAAACCTCTTTTCAGATCATGGCACAAATATTCTGATAAATTAAAAGTCAGATACAACATGCAGGTATTTATCTTTTAAGAACTAAGCTTTTCGCTTTCATTTTTATTTTTACAGCAAGTAGGACCACAATTATTCAGTGATATTTACCCCAAACCCAGATCTGCCTTTGATTAATTTTTCAGATCTGGGTGAATATAGCAACCGATTTTGAAGAGAGAGTAGCGCAAATCCTACACTTACTCCTGAGAGTAGCCACATGTCCACGACCAAGAAAACAGAAAAACCTCCAAAAAATTTGGAATCTGCTTCCTGTTCTCCAAATATGGCAATTTCTTATTCCGGGATCTATAATAGTTCATATAGACCACTCCAACAAAACCTGACTGCTCACTAAAACATTGCATGTTACCATTATTGTTTAGCAACTAAAAATATAAAACAGTCTTTCTCCACAACAAAAAGTACGCACGCAATAGGTGTATTGGAAACGCTTTCCAGCACGTACGAAACTAGTCAATACATTTTTATCAGGTTGAAGGTCAAGCGTTGGGTAAAGGAAGCAGAACAACTTTTTAAGTGTTTCAAGAAGTTGGCAGAAATAACAAGTAAAGCAGAAAGTAAGCGCGTTGACATTAATCTACTAGCCAGGTTCGTGGTTTTCAGCTTCAGCAGTTGCAAAGCCTCTTGTAGAGTTGACTGAAGACTGTGGCTGTGTGTGTTTATTAAAGTACGTTATGAACGTCACTGGTAAGTGTGACCGGTGACACACAGGCATAATATTAATACAGACTATAAAATCTCAATATACCACATTTAAACTCTTCTATTGTTATCGCCCTCTCTATAAATAGCAGCGAGTTTAATGTACTTTACTTTTTTTTCTTCTTCTTCTTCTTTCCAGACGCAGCTACCTACATCCTCCTACACGTGCTGCTGTGGCCACAGGAGCTATTTATAGCTCCCACCCGCTTAGCCTAAAGTTAGTGCTGATGAATTTCAAATAAAGGCACAAATAAGCATTTCTCCAAGGTCCGATACATTCTGCTGTTTCAAGCATCTTTCAGTGGTATACTTCAAATTTATACTGTAAAAGGCTCATGTAGGAATATACATCTGCAAATGATTCCAAACACAGGAAAGAAATGATCGAAAGCGAAAGACACAAATGTCAAGTTAACATTAAATTGGAAACTGGCAATGCAAGTTCAATGTGTAATGTTGTATTACCTAACTTTGTGCATGCTGCGGTGCGTAATGCATCTGATCCAGCCATTAAAAAAAAAAAAAAAAAAAAAAAAAAGTACCGTACGTTTAAGTTTGTCTGCTCACTTTGCGAGCTTTTACGTATCGCATCTGTTTTCAGCTGGTTTTATGTGCTTCGCATGCAGGAAGCAGAAGCCACAGGAAGAGGGGTTGCATGAGAGCAGGCATGTGTGAGTGAGTTTGAGATTCTGCACCTGTTTTTTTTTTTTTTCTCTGACAAACCGTAGTAGAAACCATTCAATTGCAAACTACTATCGCTTTTTTTTTTGAAAAGTTATTTTATTAAATATCTGTAGCTCATCTGTTTTCGTTTTACACCAGCGTGACTTTGCATGAGACATATTCTCATGCATAAACGTGTTTCTATTTATAGAAGCGCTACGGACTGCAATTGAAATGTAAAGCAGATACTCCCATCAAAGGTTGCTTGTGACTTTGGGATTCAACTCGCTCCCTGCAAGTGGTGTTGAAGTTTTTTTTTTTTTAGAAGCATGCCGATTTAGTCATCACATCTCTTATCTGGGCGCACATTTCAAAGACTTTTTAAAAACATCTTTTCAGCAGCATTTCTGAAGCATCAAACTAAATGGAGCACTTTCAGAATCCTTTAGACTCAGAGGGTCTGTAGCCAGAGAGCTAACAGGCCCTATTTAAGCATCTGCAGCAGCACTGATAGGCAACAAGAAGCCAACCTTTTTTCATATGGAAATACCCATATACAAGCCATCAGCAGCAGACTTCATTTAGTGGTGAGCCTCTCATTTACTCTCCAGTAGTGTCCTGGTGTACCCATAAGCTGTGCCAGTGGAGCCTTGATTCCTTGAACTTCTTCAAATTTGGTCACATTGGAAACACAAATGTCTCATTTTTATTCTTATTTTCGTTTTAGGATTTCATGTGATGGACCAGAAACATGTGAAGTGGAAGGAAAATAATGCATTATGTTAAATTTTGACTGCAGGGTGTCTTGACTTTCTACTTTATGCTTTGATGTAAAACCATTTCAACGTGGCTCTAGCTGTATGTTTAGGATCTTTATCCTGAACCTCTATCTGGTCCAGTTTCCTGGCTTTCCTCCATCAGCTCTGACCCGGATGAAGAAAAGCTTCCCCGCAACATAATGCTGCCGTGTTTTACTGTGGAAATGATGTGTTCTGAGGTCTAAGTTGTCACGCACACGTAGGAAGGATCTTTCGTGCGGTTGAAGAAAAAACAGTTACATTTTAGCGTCAGGG